ATTGTAGGTGTTTCAGTAAGAATTGACATGTTACTTGTCTTAGGACAATTGACCTTTCTAAGAAAAACGTAGATCGGCTGAAAACTGTTCGGTCCGCCCCGTCGCTCGACGCCTCTGTGGATTGCCGTTGGTAAAGGGAACCACAGCAGACGCGTCTTCGTCGCGTTTCCACCCGCTGTCACGGTGGCCAAGGTCTGCTTTACCAATTTCCCTACGGTGGATCTATCTCCCCTCCCCTCCACCTGTGTTTTTTATAACGGAGCAGTCCCCCCCCGACCATGCTGCTCCGACTCCTCCCCCTCGCCGCCGGAATGAAGGCCCGCCCGGCGGGGCTCCTGATCCAACAAGGGCTACTAGCCAGCCAGCCAGCCAGTCGTTGGTAAACGAGGACTTACCGTTCTATTACGCACTAGCTCTCTCTTGGTTTGATCGATGACCTTAATTTACCTGCGGGGTCTACTTACTTACTGAGTTCTAATTTTTCCAAATTCTTCCGATTTGTCAACCACGACTGACTCTTATTGGCTGCCCGTGTACCAACTGTTTTTGGTGTAACCCATTTCATCCCTCAGTGTCCATCGTTCTCACCTCAGTCGAGCCGCACCACTTCCCATGCACACTCTGTGACCTTTTTTATTGTCCAGTACTTTTGAAATGACAATCTATACTGGAGAGAAGGCGCGAATGTAACAGAAAAAGCATCTAACTGTACTCGTTTTCTGACTTTAGGCGGTGACAACATGGTGTTCCTCTGGAACGTCTCCACCGAGGAAAAACTGGTAACCATCTCCTTTCCAGACATGGTGCTGTCAGCCAGCTTTAACTTCGATGGTTCTAAACTCGTCACAACCTGCAAGGATCGTCACACTCGCGTTATGGATCCTCGAAAGGGGGAAATCCTCAAGGTGGAGTGCTGTTACCTCTCTCGCTCACTATCCTTTCTTCAATACCCCTATAATGGCCATTAGCCCTAAGGCAGCACACAGCACTTAACAATGATGCTTCTTTTCCAGGAAAATATTTGCCATCCCGGTACCAAGCCACAACAGGCAGTCTACCTGAAGAATGGGCGTATCTTCACAACGGGTTTCTCCCCTATGAGCGAACGGCAGTACGCCCTGTGGGATGTGGTGAGTTCTTCATCTGCATTGTGTTTTGTCTTGCATACGTCGTCGTCTTTCTGATGACAGAACCCACCACCACCGGCTTCCATTTATTGCTTCTGCTAGTGCAGTTTGGTGGTGGTGGTTTGGCATTGTTTAGACCTCTTGCTCGGCCTCCGTCCACTCACTCGCCAAATGGTAATAATCGACTAGCTCCATTTTAAAGTGTTTTCTCTCCCAGCCTCTTTCTCTCTCGATCATCAGTGTATAATTTTTAAAAATATCTTACTAGTTGGGCAGATTTGTGTAATTCATTTTGCCCACCGCGCTGTCGAATATTTCGCAGTCAGATCTGGCAAAACCCATGTTTACCCTATAGTAGTCGTGGCCGAAAATTCGGTCGGTTTGTTGGCCTCGTACAATTTGAAGCAAAGCAATTGTCCTAAGTGACTATGCGTACCCTTTGCTCCTTTCTCCCTTCTGCACCCTGCACAGGCTACTTGAACTAACTACTTTTTGTATCCGGATTCCACTTGTTTAAGCATTTTTCTACTGGCTAGCTTTGTTCCTCCCGTCGACTTGACTAGGACTTGCAACATAATAACTGGGAGCGCGAAGGAGCTGGCTGATCCCAGTGCATAGTTTTCTTACTGCATTACCTCTGGCGCGCTTTTAAACTACCACGATTTGTTGAAAGTCATGAATCGCTATCTCTGAGGGAAAGGTTACGGGGGGCTCCTCCTTAATGACAAATTTCACTCGGAGGTGAGTCAAGTACGCGCGTGGCTCACATTAGACGGAAGCTTTTTACAACTACGACCTAAACTCCGCATTATAGTACCGAAGCCCTGTGCAGAGGGTGACATAGCCTTCATAGCCGGCCTAAGCCTATTCCAGTCGTATTGCTATGCTACTACTTATAAATGCGACAGCAGCCCGAGGTGTTTTGGTCTGTAATGCCAGGTAATTACTGCTCTTCGTATTCATTAACACCAACGGTCACTGCGCGTTCTCCAATACAGCGATCGTCTTCGTTGTTTGCCAGGAACTAGCTTACTTTCCATTATTTTACCCCCATCCTCCTTGATTATGACCTGAGTTTGTGCCTGTACCCGTCCAAGCCCTCTCACTCGGCTAACTTGGATTCTTTTCAAACAAAAAAGGTGCGGTATTTGAGGCGGCCTGTCGCACGAGCATCGAGTTCTTTCATAAACCCTGGAGCTGTATTTTGCGCCTACAGTTCTGCTTTCGTCAACCACCTGTTGTTTCGCTCGGTGCCCTTCCGGTGTTTCCCAGCTGGGTGTTGACGTTTAGACCTGTCATTGTTTTCACTGTTGAGTCACAGTGGGCGAACAGAGTCCTTTTGTGTGTCGCGTATGCATGTGCTTGAATGCGTTCTATCAAAGCGTACGACACCAGGCTGTTTTGCTTTCTCCTTCCTCGGAGGTTAGACTTTGTTCGAGGTGCTTTTCAGTGTTCTCCTTCTGTCTTACTCTTTTTTCTATAGATTTTATCTTTTCTCTCTTGCTCAGGATGACGTCACAAAGCAACTGCAATGCCAAGACCTGGACACCAGCAATGGACTGCTTTTCCCCTTCTATGACCCGGACAGCGGATTAATTTTCCTTGTCGGAAAGGTAAAAATTTTAACCCTTGAACAGAACCGGGAAAAAAGTTCGTGGCCTCGGTCGACTCGAACCCACATTGTGCCTTCGTAGCTCAATTGGTAGAGTGTTGGCTGTACTAAAGCCTCCCCTGCTGATGTGGGTTCGATCCCCACCGAGGCCACGAATTTTTCACAGTTGGATTAATTGAATTATTCCTGTCTCCCAACCCCCCCCCCTCATAAAGAAACTACTAGGTCTTCCAGTCATATGTTAGACAACTGCTCAGCTATAATTAATCCACTTATGGATTGATGTCCTTCTGAATTAATTAGTTAAAATAGAATTTAGGACATAAGTATGATATCTCATAGTCACTTATTATTGGATATATAAATTCCCAATTAGCTCAATAACTCAGTCTTTGATAAGAAACTGGATCTCCTCTTAACTGGCTTTCAGACAATTCTGGTTTTTCTTCACTGTACTGAACCTTCTATTGGGAGTGCAGGGGCATTATTTGTTGAGGATTCTACCCAGCAACGCTGCTGAGGAAGTCATGCCTTGCGGTTTCTATGATATTTTGATTGTATCTCCTTGCGCTGGCATGGCCTGTTGTGGCGTCTGTTGTCACGGGATCTTCTCGTTGTAGGCCGTGAGCGCATCGCGGTACCGTTTCCGTAACACAAGGGTTCAATTTAAAACTTACAAACAAAGTTAAGCTTATTGTGAAAACCATAGACTCCGCGTTCAACAAAATCAATTGCTTGGACAAAAAGGCGAACTTGATGCTTAGGTCTGTCCCTAAAATTAATAAGTACAAGTAGAGGTCTTACTGTTGTCCATAATTGTCTCCAAGAGAGTGGCACAGTAGAAGCTATACCCTTACCGAAGGTCTAGTATGCCACTTGCCCACCTCAAATAAAAAAAGGAGATTATAGTAAAAATGATGAATGAATGCAGGTGTTTCACCGATCTAGTCAAGGAACAATTAA